AAGTTTGGGTCTTTCAAAAATACGAAAGTTGGGGTCTTTCAACCCACTAGCTCAGTGTAGCAATTAGGATATGGAAATCCACATATTGGTTTATGGATTTCCCCAGAGGGATTAAATCTGGTCAAGCCAGTGATAAGACTGTAGGAACATCACTACAATTATGAGATCAGGGAAGCAATGGACTACTTAAGGACGTGTGAGATAAGGCTACCATTGGTCAGGTAGCAATCACTTTTAGTCTTGAATTTGATGATCATAAGATTTGATGCATGGACCCGATCGGTTAGATCATGATGTTTTAGAGCTACAGTGGCATGATAACCAGTGGCAACTAGTTCCAGAGAAGGATTTCATTCAGAAGTCGTGTGAGGCGACGAAGTGGGAGTCCTTTGGCTCTACATCCGGGCCGGAACTCGATATTTTAGATGATTGGTGAACGAATTGAGACCAGGGAGGTCTCAGTAGATTTGGCAAGCAGCCATGTGGCAGCATACTACTTCAGGCGGTTTAATGTTTGGACAGTTTCAGCGATTAGCACTACTAGTATTTGTGTTTAGGTTGTAAGTTCTGACAGAATAACAGATTGCGTGGGTTATGCTAAATGACATGTATGGATAATTAGGTTTGTGATCCGATTTTATAGTGGGAACCTCGAGCTATTAGAAGTTGAGTAGTATTTGAGGGATAAACGGACTGGGTTCAATGATAATGATTCAGTATGAGTGGTCTATCAGGGATTCAGACCATCTCGAGACAACATATTTTAGATAGAGTACATGTGATCTTGTTGCGAGGAATTCGTGCACCTATGGATTTTAGGGCTTTAAGAAGATTCGTCACGGCTACCCTGGGAAGGCTAGGGTGTGCCCAAGATGGTGACCATGCTACTAGAGTGGTTGTGCGTGTAAGGAATGATTTCGAGGAAAAAAATATAATTTAAGTGGGGGAGAGTTGTATCACCCCGTTTATTACATAAATAAATAGATAAAGATTAATAAATGAATCCTGGCCTTAAAATCCATAATATTTAGTAGGATGTTGGTTTTGGGAGCCAAAAGTTATTATTTGGATTATTTGTGGGTTGAAGTGTAAATTCGAGACTTATTTTGTAAATATTTATGAAGGCAGAGGCTTTGTGGTAATTATTGGGACTTAATTTGGAGGAAAAAGAGAATGGAAGGCTGAATATGTCATAATTGAGAGTTGGAGGTTAAAAAGGTAAATTTTAGATTAGTTTTGTAAAGATTTTAGAAGATGGGGGTTGTTTAGTAAAATCCAGACTTATTTTGTAAAGGAATTCAAGGGGCAGGGTTTAAATGGTAATTTGTAGACTTTTTTTTGAGAAGATCATGGATGGGAGGGGCTAGCAGTGCCAAAACCGTATGTAGTTGTATGGGATACAGGTTAGAACCCGTCACACTACTACGCAGCCGCCATATATACACGAAGTGTTCCTAACCCTAACCATAATAACAACTCATCTGCCACATTATCTTCTCCACCCCAGCCATCACCTCCTCGCCACCACTGAAGGATCATCGGAGCAGCCGCCTTGTTCCGTCATAGGCGAAGACGAAGAGGTACAACGAGATCAGGAAAAAGTGGTTTGTGGGTTCTATTGCAGTTCGTGGGTGGGTCGCACACTCTCTCTTCATGTCTCTTCTGTTGCTGCCTCAACCTACGCCATCGCCGTCATCTTGCTATCGCCTCTGGCCGTTGCTCGTCGTTGAGAAAAGATGGTTGCGGTTTTGTTTCTTTGTTCAGTGTGGACTTCAGACTCGCATTACTTCATGGCGGGGCTGTGTGGGTTGTTTCATGTATGGGAGTGTGTTTAAAATCGTGTTTGTGTGTGTGTGTGGATGCTCGACTGGGAATCAACAGAACCGTCGCCACCACCTCACGGTGGCGGCTGTCACCGCAATCCATCACTGATGTCGCCGCTGCCACCATCTACTGCCATGTGTGTGTGTGTGTTTGTTTTGGTGCGTTTGTGTTCATTTCTGTAGTGAAAGGGTGTTGTGTGGCTGTTTAGTTGGCTTAAAAAGCCACCACCACCACCACCACTGGCCACCACAAGGGTGGTTGTGTGTGTATTTAGCATTCGTGTGTGTGTTTATTTTGGAGATTGGCATTGTAAATTGTAACAAAAAATGGAATAATGGAAAGAAACTCAAAATCATCACAGTGAGGTGGTGGCTGCTGCCACTAGCCACCGTGTCGGGTGGCGGTGTGCCTCGTTTGTATTGTGACTTGTTTGGGATGTTTGGACAAGGGACTAAAACCCTAGTGGGCCCAATGAAACCCTAATGGGCCCACTGAAGCCCTAATTGACCTAAAAGCCCAAAAATGTGACTAATAGGCTTAGTAAAACCCTAATGGGCCTAATGAACCTTCATTGATCAAAATGCCTAGCTATTAGGCCTATTGGGCTAAGATGGGTTGGATACCCTACCCTAATTAGTGTTTAGAAAACCCTAATATTAGGCATATGGGTTTTGGATTGTCGGGACATGAATTTTGGATGACTGGATTGGGATTGTGTATTAAGCCCGACTATACTACATGATTGACCCAATAGATTGATGGACTTAATGGATTAAGTCCTTAATGGGTTAAGTGAGAAACACTTAACCCTAATCGTCATTTTATGTAAAACCCTGATTTCACTTGGGCCTTGAGTTGGTCCTTTCTATTGGGCTTTGGTGATTGGGCCAATAATGGGCCATCCAAGAAGAATCAATGGACTAGAATAATTGTATGGGCTTTAGGGTAAGGCCCATATAAGGGGTTGGGCCCAATTTGGAAAATTGGGCCATAGACGGGCCATAGTTTGGGTGTTAACGATCATATGATATCGGACCATTAGAATGTCAAATGTTGGACTGGAATAAATGATTGGGTCTTAGAGTGAGATGATGTAAAGGTTTGGGCCTAATTTGGAAAATTGGGCCATATGTTGGGCTTTGACTCATAGTTGACTGTTGGGCCTTTAGATTTGGCCTTGGGCTTGTATCAAGCTAAGCTTGGGGTAAAGTAGTTTTTTACCCCAAGCATGGACTTATGGCTATTTATTGGAACCCAATTATTAATTGGGTGTTATTTTGATGTTGACAGTTCGGGAACCTATCATCCAACAGCTAGGGTTGGGTCTGCGGGACTTCAACAATGTGAGGTGACTTACCTTCGAGTAGAAGTGGGTTGAAGGCACCAATGCCGACCCACTAGTAGTTGATTATAGTTGAGATGATTGCCTTTGTGATAATTGTCTGGTTTGCTACTACCTGATATGTTTATGTGCTAGCATGATATGTTATATGTGATAGTGGTAGTAGGAGGGGAATAGTCCCCAAGTTCGGTTGTTAGGACCGAAGGGTAGGTCGGGCACCCCAAATATGCGTGACAATATGTTTATGCTATGTTTGTGCGATAGTAGTAGGGGGTGAAATAGTCCCCATTAGTCAGTTAAGATAAATCGACGGGTAACTCAAGCACTCCATAATGGCTTGACCTGGGTAAGTCAAGCACCTCAGAATGGCTTGACATGGGTAGGTCAGGCACCCCAAAATTCTATGGCAATATTTTTATGTTATGTTATTATGTGCTAGTGGTAGGGGTGAAATAGTCCCCAATAGTCGGTTGAGATAGACCGAGGGTAAGTCAAGCACCCCAGAATGGCTTTACCTAGGTAGGTCAAGCACCCCAGAATGGCTTGACATGGGTAAGTCAGGCACCCCAGAATTGCCTGACAGTATGTTATTGTATGGTGTGTGGTATGATGGGGGAACTCACTAAGATTCGTGCTTACGGTTTTCAGTTTTGGTTTGAGGTACTTCGTTTTTTAAAGAAAAGGAGTCGGCTCGATCGCAGCGCATCACACTATCTTTTCCACACGTGAGATCTTTCGGATTACACTCTGATATTATTTTTATGATGACATGTTTGACTATTGACACTTGGGTTTTGACATGAGATGTTATTATGGATGTTTTTATATACTTATGGTTTATCTTAACTTATTTAAAAATGTAATTTTTAGCCTTGAATTTTGAGATGTTACAGTTTGAACGATAAAAATAACATTTGGATAATCTAACTGAAAAAAAATAACACAATGATAGTCCAAACCGAAAATATAACACAAGAATAATCTAAACGAAAAATAACATATCATACATGAGTCCAAAGGGAAGAAACCACAAAACAAGAGATGGAAAGATGTATATTTGTCTTTGACTTGCATATCATACATAAGATAATAGATAAACTAATCAATGTAAGAAAATAATAGGGTTTATGGTGGAGATCTGGATACCAACCTGGATCGTGAGAGCACTTTTCGAACTGATATTTCTACCTTATGCCTGGGTTGTAAGAAATTCAATATAGAATAATCCAAGTGAACACTTACGATTCTAGGCATAGAAATCGTAAACCAATTTGCTAGAGAGATTCTGTGAGAGTTTGATGAAAATGAGAGCTAAAATTCGCAACCCTCTTCTGAGACTGAAGAGGTGTTTATATATTAAACGAGATTAGAGTTTTATTATGGTTGGACCGTCATTAGTTGCTTTGGAAGCAAGTCAGGATAATCCGGATTTAGGGTTACCAAAACTAACGAGTTTTGTTATTTTTACCATAATCACCCTTAAGAAATTGAATTTTCCCTGCTAGGGGCGTTGCACCTAGACCCCGCCAAAGGGGCGCTGCCCCCGGACCCCCGACTAGTCGTCAAACCGATATCTAATTCGATATTATACATGTGTGCACTCCGCACTAACCCGTATATATATTAGAGTACAAATTAAGAAACCCCTTAGCTCATATATTAGTTACAGTTACATAAAAATGATATCATGATACTAAAATCACCAACAATCAATGTCTAAATATGTTTATTTAAAATCTCTTAGGCAATCTATCCAAATTTAGCCTCTGCCATCAAATACTTATGTGATTGAAACAAAATTGTCTAGTAGGTCTTTCCACCGTTAAAGTCGACCATTCATAAACCTTCTCGTTGAAACGAACATGAAGAAACAAAGTTATATTTTCAAGTTAGAGAGGAAAAGTTATCAAAACCTAAAGTTTATGGGCTAAATGTGACAGAATATGAACTCTTTAAGGTTATTGATTGAAAATAAAAGGATTATATTTGTGAGGTATTCCTCAAGAGTGGGAGCAAAATTGTAGCGATGGCTTCTAATCCAATCGGAATGAAGCGCATAGCCATGGCGAGTACTTCTTCCGTAGGCATTTCAGTTCTTCCTCTTTCCCAGCTGAAGCCGATTACTATTCAAGTTCCATGTAAAGGTTTGTTGAATTTCAGAATCTAAAATTTAGGGTTTAGAATCATAAATTGCATTGCTACTGGTTGTAATTTGTGCATATGTTTCTTTATGGTTGAGTAGCGACTCAGAATGTAAAAATTTCGGTTATGAAAATTCACGAAAGTTGCAAACCTTCCTTTTGTTTCGAAAGTTATAAGCTTACCTCACTTGTTTAGTTGTCCCCTTTGTTATTTGATTATATTAAGTTTGATCAAGTAGAATCTCTATTGTAATGAATAAGATCATACTTTCAGTTCGTTTCTAATTTGGTCAATGAACTTCAATCTTAAGCTGAAACCATTGTGCTTCTCAAAAATGATTATTTTGGGTAATTTCAAACAGAAAACCTATACCATGTTGAAGAATCTCCTATTATGTTAAAGTGTTTAAGACATTAAGATTAAACCAATACAGAAACATATTAATATTGTAGGAGGCATGACATGATATATCATTGTGTTAGAAATTGATGGAAATATAAAAAGTTTATTTGACATTTCAACAATCTGTTGTTTGCATTAACATTAAGGTTAATATTAACACAAGCCAAATCAAATTAAGGTACATAAATAACAAAACATATATAATATGAGATTGATTGAAAAAACTATACTTCTGTGGGGATTTAAGACTAGTATAATTTCATGAAGGCAATTTTGGAAGTAAATATTTCTAATTATTTTCCCTTCTTTTCCTTCCAGAAAGAGTTATTTCTCATAGATTTTCAACAACCAGAAATCCTTCTTATTCAACAAGAGAATTTCATGGATTAATATCAAAGAAAATGACATTTATACCCCCCAGATGCAGCAATTCCTCAAGCCCCGATGGTGTTACTGATGATTCATCTAATAAAGCCAAGGCAAGTTTCATACTTTTCACTTCTATTTTCTCCCCTATCCTAAATAAAAGATGCCTATATTAATATCTTTAAATTGCTGTTTTGGTTTAAACAAAAACCAATAGCTACATTAAACTGTAAAAGACATAAATGCCCTCATTCCCATGGGAGGTGACGTACTGACGTCTACCCTTTTTCTTTGTGATACTTTATGTTAACATCTAACATTGCTCTCCTTTACCACTTTGTGATGAAATCAAATGTTTTAAAAAAAAAATTAAAGACGATGAAAGCAGTTATTATGCTTAATAGTTATATTAACTTGTTAAATTTTTATAATCTCATCTATGAGTTATTTTTTGCAGGTTCCATTTGGGTATAGTAGGAAAGATGTTCTTTTTATTGGACTTGGAGTTACATTCTTTGGAATTGGTCTAAAAAGTGGATTGGAGGTATCCTTTTTTTATAATTTTATTTATGTTTGCTCTATTGGGCCTCTTTACTCTTTTGGATCTAGCCCAATCTTTCTAAAAATGGGTTCATTTCAAATTCTTTTGTCTTTCTGAAAACAATATTATCATTTATACCCTTTTCTATTTACAATATAAATTCTTTTGAGCTTTTTTTTTTTTTTTTTTTTTTTTGAAGTTCTTTGGAGTTGATCCTTTGCAAGCGGGGAATGTTGTCCAGTTAGTGTTGGTGTTAGGTCTTACAGTTGGATGGATTTCAACTTATATTTTTCGGGTCTCAAATAAAGAAATGACATATGCACAACAGTTACGTGACTATGAAATGAAAGTTATGGAGGTGAGTTGAATAAGATGTGACGTGTCCCACATATTATATTTTGATGTTTTTTTTTCATTTTTTTTTTTTTTTTTTTAATTTAAAGTTTCACGTGTAACATTTCAATACAGAAACGGTTGGAGGGTCTAACTGAAGCTGAACTACAAGCCTTGCTTGAACAAGTGGAGGAGGAAAAACGTTTGCCAAGAGAATAATTAAACCTCATTTAGCATCTACACTTTTTGTAAATGATGATTATACAACACGAAAACAGAGTAAGCATGTATAAATTTTCAGCAGCAATCATCCGATGTACATGTTATGTAGCACGATGTACAACTCTTTGGATGAAGGAATTTAGATCCCAAGGATGAAACTTTATGTAGTAGTGGAGTTTTCTACATTTGGGTATTTATTTTTTGCTGTTATATTATTAGGTTATATTATGTAACAGGGTTTTTACCTTTTTAAGGGTTTTATGCATGAAAGAGCAAACACACTTCCATTATCAGGTTATCACATCTTATTTTTGTTTCTTTGTAGTAAATTACTGTAATTTGGAAAATTTATAAAACTATAACGATTTCATACAAAATACGAAGAAAAAAAATATAATATTATATTTTCAAAGTATAATAAAAAGAAAGAAGATTGCATGTACTAATTGAGTAGGTTTTGATAGTACAATGTAACAATGATTTTTTTTTAGTATAATGCCGCAATAAAAAGAAATGAAAATAGGATGCTAAATAAGAAAAAAAGAAATGAAAATAGGATGCTAAATAAGAAACATAAACAGAAGTATGTTGTCTTTTTTTGGACATAAAGTGGGCGTTGACCTTTCATTTTAGGATTAAAGGATATAACATGTAGTCATGTATTAGGTAACATGTTTGAGTGATTATACTATTCTTTTATTGTTCAATTTGATAGCATAAATTTGTAAAAGTTCAGCAACCATAACAACATAATGAGGTAAGAGGGGTAGGGGGTGGGGTGGGGGGTTGTTAAATGTATGCAATTAATTTGTTGAGACGTCGAGTCTAATGGAGGTAGTAAGTTTAATCCAAAAGCAGTCCAAACTATTTTAAAGCTTCATAACGGTTAATAATGGTTCAGAACAGTTCGTAGGCACAGAAAGTCTCAATAGATGTTCTTAGCGAAGAGAGTTGTACAAATGCCAAAGAGTTACTATAATGTTTCGATGCTTCGACATGCATCAGAACCAATTCTCTCTATCAAAGGACAAGTTGACTTTATGTATAATTTGTTGTCAGAGGGCCTATTACACGGACATTGAATCCTAGGTCAGCTCCGCGTATATATATATATATATATATATATATATATATATATATATATATATATATATATATATATATATATATATATATATATATATATATATATATATATATATATATATATATATATATATATATATATATATAATGCAACCCTAATTTTGTACGAGAGACTTTTGTGTCGGATTAATGTGTCCAAGTTCATAACTAAATTGGTATAAACTTGTAATTAGAAATAAAATCCTTTTTGGATTGCCCTCATGACTATAAATAACTAGAAATGATATTAGGAAAGAGAAGTATAATTTATTAGATTATTATATGATTAATAAACTAATCGGAAATTATGGGAAAAGATTTGTTAATATATTATATGAGTAATGTATTAATTAGAAATAAGTAATTGATTTGTTAATTTATTATGTGATTAATAAATTAATATGCCATCGATGGTTAAATAATTGATTTATTAATTTATATGGTTAATAAATTAATTAGAATCTAGAGTGAATTAAATTATTAGTTAGAATTAATGTGGAATTAATTAAAGGTACAAATGGTGAATTGTAATTTTTCAATAGTTAAATAAAAGAAACAATTCTAGATCCCTCCATGACATGGAAGGTCTTTGAGGGATTCCTAGGGTTTCTGGTAGCCTCGTATTTTCATATAAGAAAATGATTTAAACTGAGATTAGATATATATTATTTAATCAATTCAATCTGGCTTTGCATGTAAGTTACCTAAATTATAAATAGGAGTCCCTGGGAGCCAAAATTCATGCAAAACCTTTCTAAAAGGCTTATGAACGAAAATTCTCTCATCTCTCCTTTCCCCTTCTCATTCTAGGGTTTATTGTTTTGGGTGTGAACCATTAGAGGCATCATACTTTTGGTCCTAGCTTTCCAAGATCTAGAAGAAACCAAGAGAATTATTTTCTATAATAAAAGTTATGTAAATCCAAACTCTTGTATTTTTAGATTATACTAGGGTTCTATAAGTTTCTTGATATTCATAGTATGTTGATATTAATTGTGAAGACATGAATCTCTATAGGTTGCATGTGCCCTTAAGTGTTAAGTAATTTTTTCGTATTCACATGTAATCTTATAACATATAAAACCTATGAGTGGCATCAGAGCCTTGGTCTTTGATGAGACTAAAAAGTCTTTAAGATCGATTAGATTCTTAACAAGCAAACCAAGAATGTAAATTAAACATAACATAAAATGAATCAAACTGTCGTCGAATGATTAACAAGCCACAACCTCAGAAGAACTCTATAAAGAATTGCTACTGTAGAGGTGTGGTAGGGTTACAAATATTTAGAACGATAAAAGCAACAGTTAAGCTAATACGGTGCATGCATGCACCATATATATATATATATATATATATATATATATATATATATATATATATATAAATATATATATATATATATATATATACACACACACACACACACACACACAATAACCCTAATAATAACCGGTTGGATAGGTCCAAAACCGTGTACACAATGGACTTATACAAAAAGGCCCAAAGACGCAATCCACTTATCCCCAACAATCTCCTCCTTTGCGTCATTTGGGGCGAGAGAGCTTCACTGTTGTGTCTTTTTGACGGTCTTGAAGAGTTTGGGAAACACAACAAGCAAAGTCCTACGGAACAAGATGTACCAGCGAATCATGTCATTACAGTGCCTCTTTTCAGCATCATCATTCAGGTTCCACTTGTTGATAATTTCCAAGACGTGTTCCAGAAAAGATTTAGAGAACAAATGCTTGTCAGGCAGAGCAAAAAGACATTTTTGAAAGGTTCTAGCAACTTCGGTCCTTTGCTGAAACATCACAGTCAAATGAGCCATATCAATTTTTCCCACAGTCATTTCGCTTATGTTACTAGCTTTGCTGATTTACATTAGGCTTTTTCTTCATAACCTTGGCCATCTCAATGTCGAGTTTCGCTACTCAATTAATGTACGAGACCAACATTCTCTTCAGATGAGCAATGATTAGTTCGTATTTCTGTTCTTTGGTCAGCAGAAGATTGAGTAACACAATCCAATCATGAGGGTTAATGTTCGGAAGATTGGCAAGAGAAAATTCATGTAGAGAATTGTCCGAACCCCTCGTCACCTTGAATTTGACGTTCACAAAACCGCCAGCTGGAATGGGTCCGATGACTTTGACTGTTGTGATCTTCTGGGCACTCCATGTTAAATATTGAGGTTTGGCAAAGGTAACATAAAAATCAACAAGGGCTCTGTCTACTTTGGCATCCGGAGAAGGAACATCAACTATCTTATCAGAACAGTGGAACACAAAGGCTTTTCTTGTAATTGGCATATCAAACTGGGAGTCCTTTGTGTTAACCAGATCAAAGGAAGCAACTGGTTCCAACCAGTGTAGACTTGGCAGATCAACAACTTCGTGCATGATTCGTTCCAATGTCCATAGAGGAAACAATAGTTTTCTCCATTTCAATGGGTCGTGAGCTTCTTTTTCCTTTCTCTCTTTCACTTCGGCTTCCCTCGCTATGCGATCATTTTCATTGAGTTCATGATCACGAGCCTTTCATTTTAATTGTTGTTCCTTAGAGTCATCATCTTCATCAGAATCTCCCATTGGGTTCTTCCCTTTATCAACCTTTGTTTTCTCCTTTGGTTTCTCTCCCCCTTGTTCGGGAAGGACAGGGACCTCCGGAACACCCTCTATCCTGTTTAACATAGCAATCGCAGGGAGAAGCTTCTCAGCTAAATTCCGTCTGATGGCGATTGTCAGGATTGGGTCATGAGCTTCAAGGAGGTTGGATAGCAATGAGTTAACATTACCGACATAACTTTTGATACCAGTTTGCTCAGATTTTAATTCGTCTATCTCCTGCTGTGCATGCTTGAGCTTAACTGATTGAGTCTTCAATTGAGTGGTACGAATTGCAAGTTCGTCCATAATTTTTCTCTCAACTGCTAAGTCTTCTTGAAATTTAGAAAGGCTTGAAGAAACAGACTTTTGAAACGCAGAGTTGTCAGCCGAAATATCAGCCCGAAGCTTTGCAATGGACTCTCGTTCTTTTCGTAGCGAAGCATTGAGATTGACGATGACATTATTTGCATTAGTAACATTGTTTACTGCAGCTGTAGTGATCTCCGTAATAAGCGCTTTTGTGTCAGAGATTAGTTTATCAACTTTTTTGGTCGCTTGTAGACAGGATTTAGTAGAACTGTCAACTGCTTTGTTGGCTTTTTGATGAGTAGCAGCATGTTCCTTAACAAGGGCGTCAATCATACCCTTTACAGTGGCTTCAAAATAAGTTGTGCTGGAAGAAATAGTGGTAGAAGCAGGGATAGAATCCAGTTTTTCATTCCTAGCATTCAAATCCTTCTGAGTAACGGGAGCATCTTCATCACTATCTTCTTGAATGGAGAAAGGACTGTAATGAAATGAGTTGAAATCAAAACCTTCTCCCCCAAGAACATCTTCGGAACCATGCTGTTGAGGAGAAACTGGAGATGTAGTGGATGTGGTGAAACCTGATGTCTTTGCCCCCGCATCAGATGCGTTGACATTAACAAAAGGTCTGACTGAGGTAGTGGTAGTGGTGGATGTAGAGAAAATTAGGTTTTTCATTTGAGTAGAAGTGGGTGGTTGAGTGGAAACTGGAAGTCAACAGTGAGCGATAGTAATAGGAACTGTAGTATGAGTAGGAGAAGGAGGTGGAGATGGAACTTTAGTTTCGAGATTTACCTATTGGTTTGGTAAAGGTGGAGGCGAATGACCATGGATCGATGCATTTGAATGAGAATCGTCACTTTTGTTTTTATCCAAAGGCTCCACATCATAGGGAACATAATCATTGTCGCTTGGTGAAGGGGGTTGCATTGCCACCTTTTTGAGTTTTTGTTTCTCAGGGACTGAGGAATCAGTGTCGGCACCCTTTCTCTTCTTAAGTGTAATGGCTTGAGAAGATGGGTCTTCCTTTCCTTGTTTCACTTTGTCTCCCTTCTTTCCTCCTTTCTTTTGAATATCAGCTTCATACAGTGTCTTTTGCATCTCAGGAGTAATCACCCTTGGACCCAAACCTTGTTTTTTCGTGTACGACTTCAAAATCTTACTTGCCCCCGATACGCATCGATGCATCGACTTAGGAATGGATCCGATGAAGGAAAATTTTGAATTGTATGGAATAATAATCTTCGTTGTGTGGAAAGTGGCGATTGAAATCATCAAAGAATCTGCCATGATAGGAACATTAAGCTTCTGAATTGATCT